CACTCGGATTCGACGTAGCGGTAGGCTTCGAGGTAGGCGTCGAGGCTCGCGTCGTCGCGGCAGGTCGTCGGGGAGGCGTCGGTTGGTGCGATACCTTCGTCCGTTGGTGCGATACCTTCGTCCGTCGCCGCCGCCGTCCCCGCCGCCGCCGCGCAGACGTCGTCGCCGCCGCCGCCGAAGGCCGGGAAGCAGTCGAGGTCGACGCGGACGAGGTCGCAGATGCGCGCCAGGAGGCTCCGCGCGAGAGCGCGGTGCGGCGAGCGCGCGTCGGCGGCGTCGGCGGCCATGCGCTTCGCCCAGCGCGAGCCGCCCGTCCGCATGGCGACGCCGGCGGCGCCGGCGCCGGGCAGCGCGGCCGCGAGGTCCGCGGCGAGGTCGTCCGTGCGCAGGAAGTCGTAGTCGCGCATGTCGAGGCCCTGGTTGAAGCTCAGCGCCATGGGCATGATGTGCTTGTTGAAGAAGCCGCAGCGCTCGACGTCGGCGACGAAGCGCTCGAGGCGCCGGTACTGCGTCGCGACGTCTGAGGCGAGCCCGGGCCGCTCCGCGCCGGCGCGCAGCGCGTAGCTGGGCTCGCACCAGTCCTCGGGCCAGGTCAGGCGGCACGCGCCTGTGAACCAGGACTTTTGGATCCAGCCCATCTTGTAGAAAACGTCCAGCTGCCGGTACCCGCTCACGAAGCGCTCGACGGGGTGCCGCGCGGACGAGTAGAGCGCCGCGCCGCGCGCCGCGGCTGCGCGGAACGCGTCGAGGCCCTTGATCTCGACGCCGCCGCGCCGGTCGATCACGAAGTCGCGCAGCGTCGTGCTGCCCGTCTTGCAGGGCAGCGGGCCGACGACGACATCGCTGTCGGGGACGGCCCAGCCCTGCAGCGGCTGCGGTGCGACCCTTTTGAACCGCGCGTCCGTCACGTTCGTCACGTCGCAGCGCGCGCGCAGGAACGAAGCTGCGCGCGAGAGGCAGAGCGGCAGCAGCAGCCTTCTCATGAGCAATCCATCGTCTCCGTGTGTATTGAAGTCAAACTTTGGTTTTGTGAACCGGCTCGACGCAATGGCACCTCCATAAATTGGGACGCGAAGCGCGACCCAGTCGCGTCTGCTGCGAAGCATGGACGACCCGGCGACCGTCGCACTGGTGCTGTCCTGGCTTCCGCGCAAACAGCTGAGCATCATGTCGACGGTGGGGCGCGCCTACCGACGCGCCGTCTACGACTGCTCGGAGATGCTCGTCGTCTGCGGCGGGCGCGGCTCGCACGGCCACGTGAGCGACTGCTTCGGCCTCGTCGACGGCGTGCGATGGGTGCGCTTGGCCTCCATGCCCGAGCCCCGCGCGCACGCCGCCGCGGGCGCGCTCGCGGACAACAAGCTCCTCGTCCACGGCGGCGAGCTTCAAAACGGCCAGCGCGTCAGCTCCACGCTCTATTACGACGCAATCGTCGACGCATGGACGCGCCTAGACTATGGGCGGTGTGAGGAACCACCATCATCAGCAAGGTCGATTCAAAGCGACGCTGGTTCCGTGACAATCCATAAATCTGGCAGAGCTACTTTATATATCGCTGGCGGGCTCGGAACTACGGAACCGAAACGTAACATCTGCTGCTTTACCATTTCATCAGAAGATTATCACCCTAGGAAATACTGGAGCTATCTGCCGTCGGCACGTTTCTCTTCCGCATGCGCTCAACTCGGCCCCTCTGTATGCGTTATCGGTGGCTACATTGCGGGGCGGGCGGCGGACGAATTTGTTCGCATGTCGTTCGAGGCAGGGCCAGGATCCACTAACGGCCCACCGCTGCCCGCGCCGCGCTTCGACGGCGCCGCGGCGACGCTCGGCGGGAAAATATACTACGTCGGCGGCCGCGACGACAATTTCCGCCCGCGCGCCGAGGTCTACGTCTACGACGCCGACGTCGAGCAGTGGACCTCGGGCCCGCCGCTGCCCGAGCCGCGGGGCTCCTGCCGCGCCGTCGTGCACCGCGGCGAGCTCGTCGTCGTCGGCGGCACGGTCACCGCGCCGCCGCTGAGCGCGCCGA